AAGATCCTGGAGAGAAGGAAATCATAAAGAGGTGAGCCCAACATTTGGCTGTGCTTTTCCCCTTGAGGCATTTGCTGATTAATAAAGCAGTAGCTACAAGGCTAAGAAACTGGGCAGGATTTTCAATAGTCTCATGGAGCTGAGGGAACAAAAACGAGTTCAGGATGTGGGGCCCCATACATTCATCTGGGACCACTGAAGGGCTACATTCTAGAGGTGAGGGCTTACCAGAAATAGACCAGCCCTTGCAAAGACTGAAGGCTAGCTTCCATTCAGCTCAGTGTCAAAGTAGATGAAGGTCATTTGCCTTGGCCCTGTAGTTCTCAGAGGATGGTCTCCAGATCAGAAGCATCATGGAGACCTAATTAGAAATGCAAATTCTTAGACCCTACTCCAGACCTAATGAATCAGAACTTTTGGGGGTGGGGCCTAACAATTTGTATTTTACAAGCCCCCTAAGAAATGCTGATGCAGATGGAAGTTTGAGAATCACTTCCTTAACCTAACTGCCAGAGGAAAAGAATATCCTCTTATTAAAAATGTTTGGCAGTTGGACCCTTGCTGGACGCCCGGTCTCTGTTAAATGTGATAAATACTGTATTTTGTATTGTTTAAATTGGATCTGTAATTGAAAGTGGTCCAGGAGAAGGCAGCTTCCTGTATGCAGTGTGCTTTTTTTTTTTTTAAACAAGTAACAACTCCATTTAAGAAACAATTATTTCTACTTTGAAGTCATATCAATGAGAAGATGTATATGCACCTACAGTTTTCCTAATAAAGACATTTATTCAATGAAAAAAAAAAAAAGTGGGTTTTTTTTTTCCCCAGAATTAGCAGACATACCAAGAAATAAGACTGGTCTACCAAAAGACTAAGAAAACAAAACAATAAGAATAGAGCCAGATATTGATGTTATCAAACATGGACTTTAAACTAATTATGGTTAATATGTTCAAGAAAATAGAAGGTGGAGAATTTCAACAGAGAACTGCAATCTATTTTAAAAAGAATCAAAAGAAAATTCTAGAACCAAAACTTTAAATAACTGTAATTAGAAACTCAACTGGTGAGTTTATAGTAGACCAGCTGAAGAGAGGATTAGTGAACTAATTATATGGATAGTAGAAAATATCTAGAATGAAGTGCCCAGCTGGCTCAGTCGGAAGAGCGTGCAACTCTCGATCTCGGGGTTGTGAGTTCAAGCCTCACACTGAGTGTAGAGATTACTTAAATAAATAAAACTTTAAAAGGAAAGAAAAAGAAAATAATCCAGAATGAAACCCAGAGAGAGAAAAGGAAGGGGAAATACAGAAAAAGCATAACAAATAAATAGAATATGGCCTAATAAGGTCTAATATAAGTAGAATTGAAATGCAGAGGAAGAAAAAAGAAGAATTAGCTGCTTCTTTCCTGGAACACCATTTTTTCTTGAAAGAATGACTGGGCAGACTATGGTCCTTTAGACTTGGGTATTTGGCAGACATTTTCTTGAAAATGAACAAAGTGAGCTTGTCACAAAGTATTTGTTGCCAGTTATAAAATTTTAAGTTTCAAGCAGAGATTAGAATTTTGGAAAACTTGTATCTGCCATTATGAGTGGTTTTATTGACTGCTTCCCAATATTTAAAGACTGCCCTAAGATCAAAGGTGATATTAAAGAATGTGATTTTTTTATGTCTTATTTTTCTATTATTTTTTATTGAGATATAATAGACATATCATTGTATTAGTTTTAGGTGTACAACTTAGTGATTTAGTAAATATATTACAAAATGATTACTACAATAAGTTTAGTTAACATCCATCATCACACATAGTTATAATTTTTTTCCCTCGTGATAAGAACTTTTAAAATTACTCTCTTAGCAACTTTCAAGTATATAATACAGCATTGTTAATTATAGTCACCATACCGTACATTATATACCCAGGACTTACTAATCTTAAAAATGAAATTTTATACCTTTTGAGCACCTTCACCTACTTTGCCCACCCTCTACTTCCTGCCTCCATTAACCATAAATCAGTTCTCTGTATCTATGAGTTTGTGTTTTAAGATTTCATATATGAGATCAGATTTTTTTCCTATTATTTTGTATGAGTTCTTTACCTAGTTTGGATGTTAACCCCTCACCAGATACATGATTTGCCAATATTTTCTTCCATTCTGTAGGTTGCCTTTTCATCTTGTTGATAGTTTACTTTGCTATGCAGAAGCTTTTTAGTTTGATATAGTCCCATTTATTTATTTTTACTTTTGTTGCCTTTGCTTTTGGTGTCAAATCCAAAAAAATCATTACCAGGGCCATGTCAAGGAGCTTACGCCCTATGTTACAGAATGTGATTTATAAAATTATTATTCTATAATGCAGTGTGTCAACATTTGGAAGATCTGCACCAGTGTTTTCCAAATGACCAATGTGTGATGACCCAAATTCTTTCATGGGTAAGAAGGTCCATTCAAAATGCAAGATAGACCAATAGATTTCAGTGTAACAATATGAACAGTCTGTTAACATGTTTTCAGATTCCACTTGCTACTAACCTTTAAGAAACTACCACTTGTATTTTAGTATATAGTATCAAAGAAGAATATCCATAATTATCTAAAAAAGCTATTATAATACTACTTGCTTTTCCGACTATAAACCTGTGAAAGACTGTATATTCTTTATATATTTTATTTATTTATTTATTTATTTATTTATTTATTTATTTATTTATTTTTTGCATTGCAATCACATGTTTATTTAATACTTTGGAGGTAGATTAAAATACATCATACCTTTCAAATGCTCAATATAAAAGCACTTCCTTATAAAAGTTACTAGAAGTGGTGCCTGGAGAGTTTCTTACCTGTGTAGCTTAAAACCATATCCTTACACCCTAGTAAAGTAGAATTGGAAATGTTTGGCTTAATATTCCTTCCCCCCTCTTCTTATAGAATAGAATATATGTATACTAGTGGGACCCTAAATTTTAAAAATTTAAAAATGTAGGTCTTTATACATTTTAACTGAAACACTGTTATACAACATATTGAATAAAGTGTGTATGAAAATCTGGTTATCTTCTGCTAAGCCAGTGTTAAAGAAAATTATAAAAATGTAATACAACACCCTTACCAAATTCTTTTGTTTTAGATAATAGTTATTTTCATAAAAGATAAGTTATTGATGTAACTTTTTATAATAGTGCTCTTATTTTTAAGTGCGTTAGTGCATATTTTTTAAATTTCTCAGTTTTAATTTCTGCTAAGATAAATATTAATAGATATACATAAATGAAAGCCCTTTGGGGGTCCTCAGTAATTTTTAAAAATGTAAAAGGGGGCGCCTGGGTGGCTCAGTAGGTTAAGCATCTGCCTTTGGCTCAGATCATGATCCCAGGGTCTTGGGATCAAGTGTCACATTGGGCTCCCTGCTCAGCAGGGAGTCTGCTTCTCCCTCTGCCCTTCACCCTGCTCTTGCTCACTCTCTCTCTCTCAAATAAATAAATTAATTAATTAAAAAAAAATGTAGGGGCACCTGGGTGGCTTAGTTGGTTAAGCGTCTGTCAGCTCAGGTCATGATCTGAGGGTCCTGGGATCGAGCCCCACATAGTGCTCCTTGCTGAGTGGGGAGCCTGCTTCTCCCTCTGCCTGCCGTCCCCCCAGCTTGTGCTCTCTCTCTGTCAAATAAATAAAATCTTAAATATATATATATGTATATATATAAAATGTAAAGGGCCCTAAGACCAAAAAATTGAGAATCATTGCTACAGATACTAAAATGACAATTAAAATATACAAGAGTAAAAAAATAAATAAATAAAATAAAATATACAAGAGTATTATGAACAATTTTGTGCCACTAAATATAAGAATATTAAGGTCTTTGAAAAACAAGTATTACCAAAACAGAAAATCTGACTAGGCCTAAATCAATTAAAGAAATTGAACCGCTTATTTAAAACCCTTCCATAAAGAACGCTTTAAATCCAGATGGCTTCATTGGTGCACTTTACTAATTATTTAAGAGGGAAACAACCTTAATCTTACACAAATTCTTATAGAAAATAGACAAGGAGAAAACACTTCCCAACTTGTTTGATCTTAATTCTAGACCTGACCAGGTTATTATAAGAAGGGAAAATTATAGGCCATTTTCTCTAATAAACGTGGATGGAGAAATCCTAAACTAAATAATACTGAATCTATATAAAAGTAAGTCCATACAGGGGCGCCTGGCTGGCTCACTCAGTAGAGCATGCAACTCTTGGTCTCAGGGGTGTGAGTTCAAACCTCATGTTGGGTATAGAGCTTACTTAAAAGAAATAATAAAATAACATTTATTTTAAAAAAAAAGTTGATACATCATAGCCAAGTTGAGCTTATTCTAAGAATCCAGTGTTATTTTATCATTCAAAAATTATTCAATGTGGTTCACTATATTAACAGAAAAAAGGAAAATGATAATATGGGGAAGAAAAGCATGTGATAAGTTCGACACACACTAATGATTAAAAAAACAGAACCAATAATAACAAAATCCTCTCAGCCTACTTCCTACTGGAATGGAAAGGAATTGGTTGAACTTGAGAAGCAGTATCTACAGAAATCTTGCAGTAGACATCACAGTGATAAAATGCTGAATGCTTTTTGTCTCTGAAGGCAGGAACAAAGCATGAAAACTTGCTATCATCACTCCTTTTCAACATGTCCTAGAGGTTCTAGCCAGAGCATTAAAGCAAGAAAAGAAAGAAATAAAAATTTTAAGGATGTGGAAAGAAGAAATGAAAGTCTCATTTTACAGATGACATGATTCTGCATGAACAGTAATAAATTTATAAGTAATGTCTTGGATTATGCAGTTTTCACTGATGGCATTTCTATCATTTTGATTCTGCCTGAGTTCATTCTCAGAGTGTAGAAATCACTTCAGTGTGTGGAGGGACCTTGTCATTCCTCAAGTACATGCAGCAAGGTCTCTTACTTCTGGTATTACTTTTTTTCTCTACAGGTCATATCTGACTCCGGTGCGGGATGAGGAAGCAGAGTCTTTACGGAAAGCACGTTCCAGACAAGCTCGGCAGACTCGAAGGTCTACTCAAGTGAGTGTGACCTTCTTTTTTATGTCATTTTGTCTATCTTCCTTTCTGTTGGAGGTACAATTAAAAAAATCATAAGATCAGTTCCTTACTCCAGCCACTGTTGTAAAAGTTTTCACCTGTGTTAAATCTTATACTACGTAGTATCAGATGAATTTATTCCTATATCTGCCCACTCTCACTTTTATTTCTCCAGGCTCAGAGTAGGTTTATCTCCTTTCCTTCACAAGACTAATCATTCCATTTGTGTTTAAGAGGCCACATCTTAAGAATCCCTAAAGGAGAAGAGTTGGGCAGTTCCTCAAAATGTTATATATACAGTTACCATATGACCTAGCAATTCTACTCTTAGGTATATAGTCAAGAGAAATGAAAACGTAGGTCCACACAAAAACTTGTACATAGATGTTTATAACAGCATTATCCACAATAGCCCACATCCCAAATTCAGTGTCATTTCTGAACTCTGGCCAGAGTTTGCTTGCTATATAGACCATATTTATGTGTGGAGTTTGCAAGCTTGCTGTAGAGTCAAGTCCTGGGCTCCCGGCAGCAGCAAGGTTTAGCATTGTGTGGCTGGGTGCGCCTCAGCTATTCTCTGCAGCTGTAGGAGTGGCGGGCACAGGCTGAGCCATCAAGCAGACCGAATAAATTAAGCAGTTAGCATAACTGGGGAAAAAAGAAAACAAATTTCCATTAACAAAGGAATGGATAAATAAAATATAGCCATACAATAGAGTATTATTTGGCAATAAAGAGATACGTGCTAATGCTACAATGTGCGGGAACCTTAAGAAAACATTATGTTAAGTGAAAGAAACCAGACATGATTCCATTTATATGAAAATATCCAGAATAGGCAAAGCCAGAGAAATAGAAAATAGATTAGTGGAGCACCTGGGTGGCTCAGTCAGTTGTGTTGAACTCTTGATTTTTGGCTCAGGTTATGATCTCACGGTCGTGCGTCAGGCTCTGTGCTGGGCATGGAGCCTGCTTAAGATTCTCTCCCTCTCCCACTGGTCCTCCCCCACCTCACTCTCGCTCTCTGTCTCTCTAAAAAAAAGAAAGAAAAGAAAGAAAGAAAGAAAGAAAATAGATTAGTGGTTGCCAGGGGTGGGAGAGAGGAAGGAATGGGAGTGACTGCTGATGGATATCGAGTTTCTTTTTGGGGTGATGAAATGTTCTGAAATGAGATGGTGATGATGGTTGCAGAACTCTGTGTATATGCTAAAACCACGGAATTGTATACAGGCGTACCTCATTTTGTTGCGCTTCGCAGATACTGCTTTTTTTAACAAGTTGAAAGTTCAAAGTTCAGTGGGGGAAGTCACTGCAGTTGTGGTGGAAACAGCAAGGGAACTAGACTTAGCAAGGGAGCCTAAACATGGGACTGAATGGCTGAAATCTCATGATCAAACATGAACAGGTGAGAACTTGTTTCTTACAGATGAGCAAAAAAAAAGTTGTTTCTTGAGATGGAATCCACTCCTGGTGATTTGTGAAGACTGTCAAAATGACAACAAAGGATTTAGAATATTATCTAAACTTAGTTGATAAAGCAGTGGCAGGGTTTGAGAGGATTGACTCCAATTTTGAAAGCAGTTGAACTGTGGGTAAAATGCAGCCGAATAGCATCACATGCTACAGAGAAATTGTTCATGAAAACAAGAGTCAAGCAATGCGACACACTTCCTTCATTGTTGTCATATTGTAAGAAGTTGGCACAGCCACTCTGATCAGTCAGCAGCCATTAGCATAAAGGCAGGAGGCTCCACCAGCAAAAAGACTGTGACTTGCTGAAAGCTCAGACAATGGTTAGCATTTTTTTTAGCAATAAAGTATTTTTTAATTACGTGTGTACATTGTTTTTTGGACTTAACGCTATCTCACACTTAAAAGACCGCAGCGTAGTTTAAACATAACTCTTGTATGTATTAGGAAACCAAAACATTCATTTGACTCGCTGTGTTATGACACTTTACCACGGTGGTCTGGGGCCGGACCCTCAGTATCTCTGGGGTGTGCCCATACTTCAAAGGGTGGGTTTTATGATATGGGAGTTAGGTTTCAATAAAGATATATTTTTTTAAAGATTTATATATTTATTTAAGAGAGGGAAAGCGTGCATGGTGGAGGAAGGGGCGGAGGAAGAAGAAGAGAGAATGTCAAGCAGACTCCCCGCTGAGCATGGAGCCTGAGGCGGGGCTTGAACCCAGGACCCTGAGATCATGATCTAAGCCAAAATCAAGAGTCGGACACTGAACTGACTGAGCCATCCAGGCGCCCCTTCAATAAAGATATTTTTAAAAGGAAAAAACCCCTAAGGGAGCCATTGGAGTAAGGAAGAGTCTGATATAATCTGCGTTTATATAAAAAATATATATAAATAATAACATTTATAAATATTTATATATTTTTTTAATTAATTTTTTTTTTAAGTAGGCTCCCTACCCAGTGTAGAGCCCAACATAGGGCTTGAACTCACAACCCTGAAATCAAGACCGAGCTGAGATCAAGAGTCGGAGGCTATGGAGTGCCTGGGTGACTCAGTCCACTCTTGCTCTCTCTTCCTCTAAAAAAAAAAAAAAAGAAAAAAAAGAGTCGGACGCTTAACCAACTGAGCCACCCAGGCACCCCATTCTGTATAATATTGCAAAAATCACCGTGCAGAGAATTGATGGGAGTGGTCAGCAAAAGTATGTTTATAAAAGCGGGAAACGAAGACATGTTAGGAAGCTGTCACAGCAGTCCAAGCTGGAAGTAACAAGACCATGAACTCAGTCAGGATGCACTGGCAAGGAGAAGGGAGAGAAAGCTGTGACTTGGCATTAAGGAGGCAGAGGACAATGAGCTGATGTAGCACAATTAAAAGGAGCAGCCAGAGAGATGAAAGGTAAACCAGGAAATAGGAGCGGCATAGAAGTAAATGAAAAGTCAGTTGAAGGTAACAGTCGTAAATTCTACAGAGGTCAGGCAGGAAAGCTGAGGACTGAAGAAAGGGACTTTATTTTTTTTTTTTAAGATTTTATTTATGGGGTGCCTGGGTGGCTCAGTCGTTAAACGTCTGCCTTCCGCTCAGGTCATGATCCCGGGGTCCTGGGATCGAGCCCCACATCAGGCTCCCTGCTCCGTGGGGAGCCTGCTTCTCCCTCTCCCTCTGCCTGCCACTCCCCGTTTGTACTCTCTCTCACTGTCAAATAAATAAATAAATAAATCTTGAAAGAAAGAGGGAGGGAGGAAGGAAGGAAGAAAAGGGCTGTGCTTCCTCTTTGTAAAAAAAGAAAAAAAAGGACCAAGACTGACCTATAGTTTTTTGTTCTAGTTTGGTTTATTGTGGTAAAAAATACATAACATGCAGTTTATCACTTTAACCATTTTTTTAAGTGTCATTAAGTTCATTAGCATTATTTTGTAACTATTACCACCATCCATCTCCAGAACATTTTTGATCTTCCCAAACTGAAACTCTGTATATATTCAACAATAATTCCCCCTCCCCCCTCCTCTAGCTTCTGACAACCACCATTCTACTTCTTGTCTCTATGAATTTGATCACTCTAAGTACTTCACACAAGCAGAATCATACATTATTTGTCCTTTTGGTGCCTGGCTTATTTCACTTAGCATAATGTCTTCAAGGTTCATCTGCATTATAGCCTGTGTCAGTACTTCATTCTTTTTTTGGAATGAATGGTATTACACTATATGGTTAGATCGCATTTTGTTTATTCATTTACCTGCTGATAGACACGTTTTGTCTATTGTGAATTAATACTGCTGTGAGCATGGGTATACAAATGATCTCTTTGAGACCCTGCTTTCAGTTCTTTTGGGTAAATACTCAGAAGTGGAATTTGCTGGATCATATGTTTCTGTCTTAATTATTTACATTCTATTATACTCATCTGTTTTCTTATGTCTTTTCCATTAGATTAAAAGTTTCTTGAGTGCTGGAATCATTTGATTTGTCTTTGTAGTTCCAGTGCTTAAAGACACTTAATAATTTATTAAGAGAATGAGTGAATAAATTCATGAATAGTCAAAAAAAAATACAGGTTATAGTACTTGCTTAACTACCTCTAGCTTTAGAACTTCCTTCTCATGAGGACTTGAGCACATAACTGCTTGAGTTAGAATCAGCTCACTCTAGTCCTAACTCTCTTTCTCGCTGCTTCTTGCAGATGATTCCTACTTGTTTTTCTTCTGTACTGCTGCTCCTGAGAGCCTGGGGGAAATATCAATTGTTGGATTGTCTCTGTGTGACATTCCTAGAGTCACTTAGGAAATCATCTTAGAATAAAGCTAGTTTAGGTGGTGTCGTTTTTGTTGGTTGGTTGGTTTTTGTTGTTGTTGTTCTAGCCTGTCTGTGAATTTTCACCTTTTTGAGCCTGGTTTTTCTTTCTATAAGTAAAATCAAGTTTTTCTTATTATCCACTATTCAGAGAATTTCTCTTGGTAACCATTTGCTCTTGGGAGGTACGGAGCTTTCAAATAAAGGTATTGAGTATGAGAGAAGTACATCTACAACAGGCAGCCATCAATGTTGCCCTATTTTCTGGAACTCAAACTGGAAAAGCTGAAGTATTACATTTGAAATATACCTGGGCTCAGGCTGGGGCTCTTTGCACACTGAGGTGTTTATTTTAAGCATATCTTGCTTGTAATGGCCTCATACATTTTGAGAGCTTCATTTGGAATTTGATACTATTAGATCTTTAAGGCAGTCTCCCTGCTTATTTATCAACAGTTATTCCATGGTTAGGGTGAAACTTCCTGACCTTGTGTCATTTTCCCAGGGCGTGACACTAACAGACCTTCAGGAAGCAGAAAGGACTTTCAGCCGGTCGAGAGCAGAACGGCAAGCTCAGGAGCAGCCTAGCCAGAAGTCCGCAGGCACTGAAGGGCTTGAAGGAAGCTCGGAGAAGCATGAGCCCTCAGCGGTCCCAGCAAAGGAAGCTGGCGAGGGCCGTCAACCCTGGGGTGGGAGTCTGGATGAAGAAGTAAGTCACTGACATGTACTGTGCTAAAAGCAGGGTCATTAATGTGGGGAATCCCTCCTCACTGATAACTCAAGCACGGTGCTACTTTGCAGTAGACAACTCATAGAAAACACTGGTAACGTCCATCTGTTGTTGGCAAACCTGTGTGACTGAAAGAACTCAGAGGATGTCCGTCCTTCAGTCATCATTTTGTGCTCAGAGTTAACTAATGCTTATTTTTTATCCAGTTTTTTGGAGATGTTGAGATATAACATTGAACTGACATACAACATTTTATTAACTTTAGACTATGTACAATATGATGATTTGATATATGTATATATTGTGAAACGATTACCACAGTAAGTTCCATTAACTAAATTTATTCTTTAACTAAAGATGTTTTTCTATTCTAAAGAGAGAGGTTATAGTATAATAAAAATACAAATAGAAATGTGAGGATTTATTGAGTGTCTACTTTATACCAGGCATTATTTCAACTATTTCGTATGTATTAATTCGTTTAATCCTCAAAACAACCCTCTGAGGTAGATATTATTATTTGTATTGTAAATGTAAGGAAATCAGGTCACGAAGAGGTTAAGTAGCTTGCCCAGCATTTCACACAGATGAGAAGTGGTTAAGCAAGAACTTGAGCATAGGCAGCCAAGCTCCACAGAGCACTCTCTCAACCATGATTATGTTGTCCTCTAAACCCCTGCAAACCTAGGAGTTTACAGAGCACCCCTTAATCACATGCCACAAGATGTCATTATTGAGGTGGACATTTTTAACTTATGTTCCCTTTCTCAGGTGGAGTTGGTAGTCAAAGGCATAGGATTCTATTTAGGGTGAACATAACTCCTAGTTTAAATTAGGAGTTCCAAATTACACCTGTTACCTTAGTGTAATTATTGATACCATTCATCTTCACTCTCAGAAGTGTCTCAATTGGGATGATAAATTTTCCCATCACCATAGTTAGAGGAGAAAGGAATCTCCTTGCTCCAACTCTGAATGGCTAGGTTACATAAACTAACTGAGGTTCTTTTGTTTATTTTGTTCTATCAGCTACTGTTTATTGATTACTTACTACTAGCTACTGTTCCAAGCATCTACCATACATTCTCTTGTATAATCCTCACAATCCTCTGTGAGGAAGCTATTATCCCTACTTTACATAGGAGAAAGCTGAGGCTCAGAGAAGTTAAGTAACTTATTCAAGACCACACAGCTAGTAAGTCCTGGAGCTAGAATTTGAACCAAGTTCTGTCTGATTCCAAAGCTTACTATATTTTATTGCCACTGTCTTTATAAACAAAAAAGTATACAGTCTCTACATGTATTAAGAATTTATCTGTGCATCTTCAAAAAACCAAGTTAAGGCTTATTGTCAGTCTCTTTCTCCTTGGGAAAAATTTCAAAGTGGAAAATGGGAAGTTTTTTTTAAGTTTCAATAAGCCTGGTTATGGCAGGTTGGTAGAATATTCAGAAATTGATTGCTCACATTTGGCCTCTGTTCTCAGATAACTCTGTATTGTTTCTTCATATTCCCAAGCTTTTTATTTTTCTATGTAAATCTTGCCTTTCGGTGCTCCATCTTAAAAAGGTCATCACCCTTCTTATTTTCATTCCAAAATCAAAGGAATTTTTATTAACAAGGTTAGTGCTACCTAGTGCCCTTTGGTCAATTTAGGAAAAATTTTCCTGGGCTGCTGTCAACCTGATGGTATTATCAGAATAGGAATCCAGAAGCTGTTTCCTTTCTGGCTAATTACCTAACTAACTTTAGTTCAGCTCAGTAGCTATTTATTGAGCATCAACTATTAATAAGCCTCTTGGTATAGGAAAAGCCCATTTTTAATAAGCCTGCTATCCTTATCCTTTGGTTGGACTTGACCTCTAACATCTCACCCTGTGGATTATTTCCAGCCTGTCTATCGTCGCCTGAGGTATCCAGTTCAGCCAGACAAACCCACAACACCAGTGTCTCCTTCTGCATCAAGATCCTCTCTCTACACCAGTTCCCATCTGCTACGGACAAGCAGATCTTCAGTCCCTGACTCTGAGAGTCCAGAGACCACCACAAACGCTGCAGTTGCAAAGGAAATGGACAAAAATGGTATGTAGAGCTTCATTTTAGGTGGCGTCCCCCTGTCGTGTACATGCCTCTGTTTCCTAAGATCACACTTCGTTTTATCTCTGGCCAGAGAGTGAAGAAGCAGATGTGGATGATCAGTCCTCTACTAGACTGTCCATCCGTGAGAGGAGGCGGCCCAAGGAACGACGACGAGGCACGGGCATCAATTTCTGGACAAAGGATGTAAGTGGATTGGTCCGTGCTGGGACATATCACATCACCCATGGCCGCCGTCCTTTCTGCTGGTTCAAAAAAAAGAAAGGGTCCCACCTGGTCTGATGAATCTTGCAGATTATCAAGAAATATTACTGAGGAAAGAGAAGACGACCTACCTAGTGTGGGACTCCTTTGGTATATCCTTGGCCAGATGCCCAGTACCTAGAACAGTGCCAGGCACATAGTAGGCACTCAGTAAATAATTGGTGAAGGTAAAAAAGACCAGAAATCTACAACAACCATATAAGCAAATATAACAAGTGAATAAGCTTGTCAAATACCAGCAATTCTCCCTAATATTCCCAGAAAGTCATGTAGTTAGTCAATAGTATTATCACATATAAGCAGAGATTCTAACGAAATATTTTAAGAGCATTATAAGAATTTCAAGGAACCTAAAATCTTAGTAATATAAGTTCATCTAACTCAATTTTACTCTTTTAGAGGAAAAAAGAAAAAAATATATATAAAACAGATTAACTTTGGCTTTAAAATAAAGACAGGTGCACCAGGGCTTACTAACTGCAAGCACACATTAGTACTTTAATTCACCCTCCTGTTCTATACCGGTCTCACTCAACTTTTGTTATTGGCATTTTAAAAATTAAGTGACCAAGAATCAAGAGGTCCCTGGTTACCAATGACTCATCTGAAAACTAGATGAACCATTCAGTGAGACAAGGAATGAAACAATAATAGTCATCTGTTAGAAACTATTCTTTAAGATAAAAGTATCTCATTTTTATAGGACCAAATAGACTGATAACTATTGACAGAGATGGAATAAAGTCTGTCCTTTCTAAAGATACCCCTTTTCCTGCTATGGTTCATTTGACGTTTTTGATGACAGGCAGTGTTCCTGAGCTGTCTGCCTATGGCGGCTGTTAAAAGGCAGTAACAGAGCATCACTTGGCAGTCAGTTCTCACTGCCTGTGTTTGAAATGCCAAGATGCATAATTGATGGGAGCTGATCTTGTTGCTTTCAAGGATGTCTGTGACTATGGTCCTCTTGTTTTTCTTCTTCCTTTTCAGGAAGATGAAACTGACGTCTCTGAAGAGGTAAAAGCAGCACTGGTAAGTGGCAAGCCAGTGAGGTATGTCCCGTTTGGTTCAGCCTTTCTCGTGTGCATACAATTTCAATAGAAGAGAGCAGGCCCTATGCAGATTTGAGTTGAGGGAGAGTTTGGAGATAGACATTGCTCTGAGAGATGTGGCAGGTGTTAGTTGGTGGTACATTGTCTTCAGATGCTCTTGAGCAAGTTTCCTGCACTTCTCTATGCCTTCTGATCCCTAACACAGTTCTAGGATCTATCTGCTTTTTCTCTCTTGTGAGTACATTATTGGATTGTAGAAAGTACTTTGAAATCTTTGGAAGAAAAGTGAAGAGTGATACTATTTCTTTTATGGATCTATACTTATATAGAGAAAGGAACATAAATGTGAAGAATGTAAACATCACACAATCCAAAAGTCACATATTTGACTTTGAAATAAGGTTAAACCCTTGACTATTATACAACTCAGGCCTGGCATCAGCTTTTCTCTGCAGTGGATGACCTGGACCCAGCTTTCCTGACCCTCCAAGTTCCTGAAAGCCACTCAAACATGACAGAAAGTTAGTGGTTTCCTTATCAGTACTATTTTTCAGGAAGGAAGGAATTTGGTTTTGACTACATGAATTGAGACTACACGTACATCTCTACTGGAAATTATGTAAAAAAGATGGACTTTTTGTATCCTGCAGTTAGTTGAAAGTAGGTTGTCAGAATATATTTGAGAGGTGCCTGGGTGGCTCAGTTGGTTAAGCCTCTGACTTTTTTTTTTTTTTAAGAGGTAGGGGCAGGGCACAACGCAAGGGAGAGAGAATCTTAACTGGGCTTCACACCCAGCGTGGCGCCTACTTAAGAAAAAAAAAAAAAAAAGAATGTATTTGATAAACCATACTGAAAATCAACAACTAACTTGTTCTTAGCAGAGGAAATAGAAATACTCTATCATGTCATTGACCTGCCTGTATTTTAGTCAAGATCCAAAGCAATCAGTAGGGCCTTCCAAAAAGCAATGCCAAGCTGACTAGTGGTGACATAGGTGAGAACTGCCTATCGTTGGTTGAAGCTAGGTGACTTCACAAAGATGAGACATGTCAAGTGGAAATACCACAAAGAGGTTCATACACATGCATAAATAACAGCAACTCTTCAGTTCTTCAATGGGCTGGGAAAGGCTTTTGGAGACATAAAGAGTGAATGTAGGAAGGTTGCTTTGGGGAATTATAAGATACCTAAAGAGAGAATCTGAATAATAGTTACAGAGCACTGAAATGGACTACAATCCCTAGAGAGTTATAGAGGCCATTAAATCCGTTAAGGGAATGACAACAAGGATGGCTTTGTCATGACAGAATCTCTTTTGTCCGTGAAAATCTGTGTCTCCACCTTTCCAAACCACTTGCCATGGGAAAATCCTAGCATAGGGCACCAGGTAAGGAAAGCTAAGATGTTCCTGATGCAGTGCATCCCAGAGAATTTCATCTTAGGACTTGAATGAAATCAAATGAAAATTACAGAAAAGATTTTCTGATTCTTTTCTGGTGAGGAAGAGCAGAGACTATTGAGGTTTGATGAGAAAGTCATTTGTCAGACTGAAAAACATTTCACTCATCCAATTGCTTGAGGCATCTGTTAGTGTCTACCATGTGTCAAGCAGACTCCAACGTGAATCTTAATAGAAGAATGAACAGTCTGTTATCTCTAGAAAGTAGTTTAACTGAAGAGGGAAAACAAAAAGCCAAAAACACTTACCTGTTTTTCTCCCAAGTACTCTCTTCTAACACTAGCAGGCATGATGCCGTTATCATCATATGGACCTGTGGAGCAACATGCCTGGCAATGTAAGCTGCAGTTCTACTTCAAGACAATCACTGATCTCTTAGGACCAATCTTTCTCCCCCACCTCCATGTCCTTCCATCAGGCAGCAGAATTGAGCCAGCCAGAGGAGGGGGCATGAATTGGCACTGTTAGCTAATGAGCATGGATACTGCTGAGAAGCCAGGGCAGTTCTTTCTTTTCTTGGTTTTTGGTTCAGTAAGACTATATATGCTGTTGAGGTCATGACAGTTCCCTTCTCTTTCTTAGCCTGTTCTTAAAGAGTAGTGGTGGTATTTTTAAAGTTAACTCTTCCCAAGACTCTGGCATATATATTTTTTTGAGATAAAATTTACAATCCAATAAACTGCACAGATCTTAAGTATACTGTCTGATGAGTTTTGACAACTGTATACACCAGTGTAAACACCACTCAAAATATAAAATTTTTCCGTCACCTTGAAAAGTTCCCTCATGCCCCATTCCCTGTCCCAAAAGACCACCACTTTTCTGATTTCTGTCACTATGGATTAATATTGCCTATTCTTGAACTTCATATATATGAAGCATACAGTCATATTTCATTTTAAGAGTAGAAAGGAAACTTCAGTGGTTATTATTCCTATCTTATGTTCCAGTTAAGGTTAGAATTAAAATGACTCCAAATAAGTACAGATTTTGTTTCCTCCTCTTAAAAGAGTTCAAAAGAAGATTCTTTAACCTCTCGCCCTTGTATCAGTAACAGCATGGTTAAGAAGACCTCTCTATTGTTTAACTTAAATCTCTATTGGTACCACTGAAATCCATTTCTTCTTTTTGTGCACCTGTGCTAGAAAAATGTTATCAGCATTTTTTTTAAAGATTTTATCTATTTATTTGACAGAGAGAGACACAGCGAGAGAGGGAGCACAAGCAGGGGAAGTGGCAGAGGGAGAGGCAGGCCTCCCATGGAGCGGGGAGCCCGATGCGGGGCTCAATCCCAGGACTCTGGGATCACGACCTGAGCCGAAGGCAGATGCTTAACGACTGAGCCACCCAGGCGCCCCTGTTATCAGCATTTATATACAGATATGATTTATTGCCAGGAAAGGCCCTGATGTTTGTTTTCAATTATGTGATAGGAGAAAGACCAGTTGTGCATTTCTATGGTGGTGACACCAAGGAATGATACTTAGAAGGCTGGGGACTTTGCTTAAGCCCAACATACTGCATGATTTTAGTCAGAACCCATTCCCATTGGTAAATCCATGAACAGGTGAGACTGGCAATGAATATATAATTTGATGTCTTAGCACCTCCTTGACAGGTGCATTCAAAGCACATCTGTTAATTATCCACATTAGGTATGTAATAGATATTTTCCAGAAGTCTTAATATATGTTTTATCTTGCTAAGTGAAAGAGAAACTGTATCTAGATCTTAATGTGAGGAAGAAAGGTATTCCAGTCATACCTGAAAAACTTTTATATTCAGGAGCATGTTTGTTTTCTTTACTAGTGGTAAATACTAGAGGTAATTTCTTTTACAGTGTTTGTTCTGGAAGGCACAGTCATAGGCGCACTGCAGAAAGTGATGGCCATTTGGTTTCTTTCCATCTTTTTTTTACCTACATCTTTGGCCTGCCTACATCTTTGGCCTGCCTCTTTTGCTTTACATTGATTTTATCTACTGTGTTTTTGCTGTTTTCCCCATTTACGCCTCTGGAACAGACTGTTTCCCTAGCCAATTCTGTTGTATAATTAAGTTTATCACTAGAGGGCACAAGTGGTCAACAGAAAAGATGCTTGTAGTGCCCTAAAGAATTTGAACAGAAGACAGATTCTTTAGTTTTAAAGGAATTGTTAAAGAACCCAGTTAAGTGTAATGAAGTTACTTGCCTCCCAACTTTTGGGAAGTTAGAGATAACTTGGGTTAGGGACTTCAATTTACAGTTAAGAAAACTGAGGCCCAAAGAATTTAAGAAGTATTCAGGGATATGAAAGCTCTGCTAGTTGATCACCCTGTGCCTGCATCGGGGAACCTTTTTATTTGACTTTAGTGAAACAGACCTGAAATCAGGGCTTATATCCTCTGCATTCCCTATTTATCCATTTGGTTTTTTACTCAACAGATTTTATGTTCAAATTGACTTGCTAGTAGCATCTCAGTTCCTTAAGTGTAGGAATGTCTTCTTGAAGGACAGCTGAAAAGCCTACTCTGAGTATCAAGATTCAGTCATTGGGTAGAATATCAGCATTCTTCTGTTGTCCTTGACATAAGGGTACTTATGTCTTTCAGGAAGTAAGAATTTCCATACAAAATGCTTCCCTCCCATCCCCACCCTCCCTCCATCCCTGTTGCTTTTAGGCAAATCGGGTAGCACTCAGTCTGAACAAAATCACCGAAACTTCACTCTCAAATTTAGCGATGTCATTTTCCCAGTCCAGAATGGAACCAGTAGATCTGAATTGCTAATCACCCCTCAAAATGCATTGGTAAAGGAGATATTGTTAAGGAATTACTAATTCACGGGCATTAAGGTATCTGTCTTAGATAAATGGTGGCCTGCTAGTGGAGAGATGTGTTAGTAAAGTGCTCCAAAAGAAGTAAGCCATTAAATGTAATATTTTCAAATTATATAAAAGAGAACAATACAGAGACTTGCTGGCAAAGCTTGGTTTTGAACTAAGCTTTAATAGAAAATAAAACTTGCCTTGGGAGCTACTTGGCCCCAGAAACGTCTCTACTACCTAAAGTCACTAAACGCATTTCCCATTTTGTCCTGCCTTCTCCTTTATAAGCTTCTTCTCATTTATTCACTGAACAACTACTTTTAAGTAACCTACTATAATCAGGCAATTTTTTAGATACTGGAGATGGAACAATGAATAAAAAGCCCTGCTTTTATGGAATTTACATTCTAGTGGAGGAGATGGACAATAAATAAAATAAATGTGTGAAGGAAATAGTTTGTGAAAAGGTGATAAGTGTTTTTGGAAAACCCATGTAGAGTGGGATAGGAAGGAATCAGGAATGCCTGAGTGGGATAGGAAGTTGACATTAGAATTATAAGTAGGGTGGTCAGGATAGACCTTGCTGAGAAAGCATCATCTGAGCCTAGACTTAAAGGAAGTAAGATGGGGAGCTATGTGGACACATGGGAGTAGAGAGTTTAGGCAGGGGGAACAGCACCTGCAAAGCTTCTGAGGCAGAAGTGTGCCTGACGTGCT